CACATGACGCACGTCACACAGGACACATGTCGCACATGACGCACGTCACACAGGACACACGTCGCACATGACACACGTCACACAGGACACATGACGCACGTCACACAGTACACATGACGCACGTCACACAGTACACATGTCTCACATGACGCACGTCACACACGACACACGTCGCACATGACGCACGTCGCACAGGACACATGTCGCACAGGACACACGTCGCACAGGACACATGTCGCACAGGACACATGTCGCACAGGACACATGTCGCGTCCTGTGTCGCACAGGACACATGTCGCACAGGACACATGTCGCACATGACGCACGTCGCACAGGACACATGTCGCACAGGATACACGTCGCACAGGACACATGTCGCACAGGACACATATCGCACAGGACACATGTCGCGTCCTGTGTCGCACAGGACACATGTCGCACAGGACACATGTCGCACATGACACACGTCATACAAAAACTTTGCAGCCTTTCGAAACAAATGAAGGATGATCGCCGACAGTAAGACTCACGAGTTGTTGTGTACCCGGCTGTACTCGGATCTCAGAGTGCGGCTCTTGCTGACGCTGTGGGACGACTCTATGGTGGACACCACGATCAGCAGCAGCAGGGTCAGCAGCGATATGGCGTGACAGGAGAACTTGATCACCGGAAACTGCAAGATCTTGGCCCCCTGCAAGAAACAGTCCGCAATGTCACGTGATCGTGGGCGTCAGTTGCGAAGAACAATTTAGACATATCTATCGCCTCTCATTATTCCCTTAATATGAAGACAACAGGAGGCCCAATTGGTGTACGCCTTCGGTGGTGTACTCAGGAAGTGCGAAAGGGGCGAATCCAGGGGGCCTCACTTTTAGGGCTCACATTTAACATTATGTATTTCTGTGTGTTTGGGCTCCCATTTTTTGGTGTTCGCCCCGGGTGGTACTTAGTCGAGATACGCCGCTGTAGATAGTGTATTCTTTCAATTTGAAAATTATACTCTCAGAAGTTAATGACGGTATCGCTCTTTCGTTTTAATGACGGTATCGCTCTTTCGTTTTAATGACGGTATCGCTCTTTCGTTTTAATGACGGTGTCGCTTTTTCGTTTTAATGACGGTATCGCTCTTTCGTTTTAATGACGGTATCGCTCTTTCCTTTTAATGACGGTGTCGCTTTTTCGTTTTAATGATGGTATCGCTCTTTCGTTTTAATGACGGTATCGCACGTCTCGCATGCGTGTGGAATTTGAAGACAACGTAAACCTACCGAGAATACCCCATGACCCTGATCTGAGATTTGTTTTATTATATAAAAACATGAATAATTTGATGTTAAAGTTGTGCAAAGTTGATCCAACTCAATCATTTTATACTCTTAATCTCTTGGGAAATTGTGTACGTCTCTCACGAAACGAGTCCTATCCCTGCTGAACCTCGATACCTTTATGGTAGTATCGACCTAGAGATGAGTTTTATGAGTTTCACCATGACTTTTACCTATCGACTTCCAAGTTTGGAACACCGCTCTGACTGTTGAATGGTATGAACATCAATGTGACTCTTACCATGACTCTTACCATGACTCTCACCATGACTCTCACCATGACTCTCACCATGACTCTCACCATGACTCTCACAAAGACTCTCACAAAGACTCTCACAAAGACTCTCACCAAGACTCTCACCAAGACTCTCACCAAGACTCTCACCAAGACTCTCACCATGACTCTCACCATGACTCTCACCATGACTCTCACCATGACTCTCACCAAGACTCTCACCAAGACTCTCACCATGACTCTCACCATGACTCTCACCATGACTCTCACCATGACTCTCACCATGACTCTCACCATGACTCTCACCATGACTCTCACCATGACTCTCACCATGACTCTCACCATGACTCTCGACTCTCACCATGACTCTCACCATGACTCTCACCATGACTCTCACCATGACTCTCACCATGACTCTCACCATGACTCTCACCATGACTCTCACCATGACTCTCACCATGACTCTCACCATGACTCTCGCCATGACTCTCGCCATGACTCTCGCCATGACTCTCGCCATGACTCTCACCATGAATCTCACCATGACTCTCGCCATGACTCTCGCCATGACACTCACCATGACTCTCACCATGACTCTCACCATGACTCTCACCATGACTCTCACCATGACTCTCACCATGACTCTCACCATGACTCTCACCATGACTCTCACCATGACTCTCACCATGACTCTCACCATGACTCTAACCATGACTCTCACCATGACTCTCGTCATGACTCTCACCATCACCCTCGCTATGACCCTCACCATGCCCCTCACCATGACTCTCACCATGCCCCTCACCATGACTCTCACCATGCCTCTCACCATGACTCTTACCATGACTCTCACCATGACTCTTACCATGACACTTACCAAATGACTTCTCAGTTTTGAATATAGATCTGACTGATGAATGGTACGAATATCAAGGTCAGTTGACTTGAACTCCCAGAAAAGGACTGACTAGAACGAGTCTATTTTTACTCGGAGGGTTGTAGGTTTGTGGCTAGTTCATGGAAGAGTCCATTTTTTTTTAGAGCTGACCTCGCGCGCGTCAGGCCGAGTTAAAAAGTATTCTTCTTATTATTTATTGGTTTAAAATTACGCGCCCGATTTTGAGAACCACTGACGTACGATAATCATCAATTTTATGTAACATTAGGTTGCGTACCTTGCTGTCCGGGTAGCAAATGTGCAGGAAGACAAGGGCTGGATAGGAGACGATGAACAAGAGCAGCATGGTGATGCGTTTGGACCAGCCGGCCCTCTCTATCGTTCCGATGCGGCTGTACCACGCCCTAACCACTCTCTGTTGGCAGCTAGCGTGGGCTACAAACTGGAAGACATGTAAAATGGGCAACAGTTGGATGGGCAACAGTTGGATGGGCAACAGTTGGATGGGAAACAGTTGGATGGGAAACAGTTGGATGGGCAACAGTTGGAGGGGCAACAGTTGGATGGGAAACAGTTGGATGGGAAACAGTTGGATGGGAAACAGTTGGATGGACAATAAATTTACGGGAAACAGTTGGATGGGCAACAGTTGGATAGGCAACAATTTTATCGGAAACGGTTGGATGGACAACAGTTGGATGGGCTACAATTTGATGGGTAAAATGTGCATGGGCAACAGCTGTATAGAAATAAGATGTATAGCAAAAAGTTGGAGAGGAAAAAGTTGGATGGGAAAAGGTTGGATAGGCAACAGTTGGATAGCAAAAGTTGGATAGACAAACGTTGGACAGGAAACAGATGGATAGGCACAAGTTAGGATAGGAAAAAGTTGATAGGCCAAAAGTTAAAGAGGAGAAACTTGGCGAGGAAAACGTTTGATGGGGAAAATGTTGGATAGGATACATTTTAATAGGCATCAGCTCTATAGGAAACAGTTGGATAGGATCATGTTTGAGAGGCAACAAACAGTTGGATACGCAACTGTTGGTTAGGCAAACTTTGGATAGGCAACAGCTGAACGGCAAAGAGGTGGATGGGGCAGAAATAGGATGGCTCACAGATGGACAACAATCAAACCAGGAACGTCAGTATCCTCATAAGGTATCGGCTAACTATTGGAAGAGTATTTGGGGGTTCCCAATGAGCTATTATTGCAGTTGACTTATTGGGATCATCGTAATTAATGCTCTGGGGGGTGGAGGGGGAGGGATATTAAATAAACAATCCGTTCAACCTGGAGTTAAGTCATTTTAAAAATGGTACAACATTTTTTTTTCTCGAAGAGTATAATCACTGACCTTTTTCTCCTTGTAGTTCAAGGCCAGCTTGAATCTTGCCAAACTTTCAAATTTTTCTTGGTGAGGTTTTCCTGTTTTGTTCAGCACCAACTCCAGCTCCTTCTGTGTCCTTATTCTGTCCAGTAACTTGACCACATAGTCACTCAGCTGGTCGGCCAGGTCTCTGTACTCACGCTGAATGCATAAGACAAAAGTTCATAGCGTGACATAAAGTGATAGCGTGACATAAGGTCATGTCATGGGGGTGATATAAAGTGATAGCATGACATAAGGTCAGGTCATGGTGTGACATATAAAGTGATAGCGTGACATAAGGTCAGGTCATAATGTGACATATAAAGTGATAGTGTGACATAAGGTCAGGTCATGGTGTGACATATAAAGTGATAGCGTGACATAAGGTCAGGTCATGGTGTGACATATAAAGTGATAGCGTGACATAAGGTCAGGTCATGGTGTGACATATAAATTGATAGCGTGACATGAGGTCAGGTCATGGTGTGACATATAAAGTGATAGCATGACATAAGGTCAGGTCATGGTGTGACATATAAAGTGATAGCGTGACATAAGGTCAGGTCATGGTGTGAATATAAAGTGATAGCATGACATAAGGTCAGGTCATGGTGTGACATATAAAGTGATAGCGTGACATGAGGTCAGGTCATGGTGTGACATATAAAGTGATAGCGTGACATAAGGTCAGGTCATGGTGTGAATATAAAGTGATAGCATGACATAAGGTCAGGTCATGGTGTGACATATAAAGTGATAGCATGACATAAGGTCGGGTCATGGTGTGACATATAAAGTGATAGCGTGACATAAGGTCAGGTCATGGTGTGACATATAAAGTGATAGCGTGACATAAGGTCAGGTCATGGTGTGACATATAAAGTGATAGCGTGACATAAGGTCAGGTCATGGGGGGTGACATACGGTCACAGCGTAACTGATGGGGACGATGTGACAGGACGTCATCATGCAAAAGTTTTGCCTGATGGGGTAGGTAGTTATAATATAACGGGTGGGCCTGATGTGGTTGGCTGTTATAATATAACGGGTGGGCCTGATGTGGTTGGTAGTTATAATATAACGGGTGGGCCTGATGAGGTAGGTAGTTATAATATAACGGGTGGGCCTGGTGTGGTAGGAAGTTATAATATGATGGGTAGGCCTGATTTGACAGATAGGCATGGTGTGACAGTTTGCTTGATGTGACAGATTGACATGATGTGACACATCGGAATGTTAGAGCAGATATGTAATCACGTGACACATCGACATGATGTGATAAGTGTGCATACTGTGTACGAGAAATGTTTTAGGTCATGAAAGGCGAACACCGAATCGTCTAAAAGAAATAGAACCATGAACTATTCACTCGCCTTGAAATGTTTCTCAACTTTGGCCATGCGCCTGAGTTCCGCGGCAAGCTCGAAGGCCGTCAAGATTGGATCCTTGCTGGACAGAGATATGTAGGCCTCGCTGGCGAGTCCTGTGTACGCGTTCAGTCTGTACTTGGCCAGGCGGAGCTGGTCGAACTTCATTTTGTTGCGGCATTCCTTCAATGGTAACAACGATAGTTCTACATTTACACGATTGAGAAGTGAGACGTTCTATGAGCTTAGAGGAAAACTTTGAAACTATTTAACTGATGCATAGACTCTGGAAAATTTTAAAAATTATGTTGTTAACTTCATACGTCTCAAGGCAACAATCATTCCTCAAAATAAAATAAAAACATTGTAAAGAATATATAAAAAGTTCATTCCTGCAATCAAGGTTCCAATTCATCTGCTGTTTAGCCTTGACACCTGGCCACTTCCAACCGCTTCAAACGATTTGGCTAATCCTGGCGTAACACACTTCATACCTGACATCTATAGCTAAATTTGGCACTATACAGTTACCGGACATACGCAGCTAAACATGGCACTACACACGTACCTGACAGACGCAGCTAAACTTGTGTGGCTTCAAGATGGTCTCCCCCCTTTGCAAAAGCAGCTGGACAATTTCATATTGGTTCTTCTGTGCGGCTAAAATAAGTGGAGTGATGTCTGGGGAGAACTGAGAATCCGGGAATGCTGTCTTGTAGAATCCATCTGGAGATGAGACAGTTGGACTCGGCTATTATAAAACAGTACAATTTGACACACACGTACTCCCTAACGGTGGATCCAAATTGAATGACAGCAAGCACCAAAAGCGCATAAAGTATTGTCTTGAATAGCGAACAAGAAATGTTTTTGATATTACCAAAAATAACCTCATGGCAATAATTAAAATCAAATTTCAGTTAAAGTTCTCTAGAGGAAAAAAAATGGATCTTAGCCTCAGTCCCTCTTCAATGATGCGTGTTGACAACTGCGCAGCCGCGCACAGTATCCCCAGTTTTCATCTCACATTTTTCTTATGTTCCACATACCCAGATACCCGTATTTCTCACCCTTTTTATCCCCTGCTACTCATACCCTATTTCTCATCTTTCATATCCCCTGCTACACATACCCATATCTCACATCTTTTTATCCCTTGCCACACAGACCCACATTTACCACCTTTCTTATCCCCTGCTCCACATACTCATATCTCCCATTTCTCTTATCGCCTGACTCATCTCCTGCTCCACATACCCATATCTCCTATCCCTCTTATCTCCTTGCATATCCCAGATCAACATACCCATATCTCCCATCTTTCTGATCTCCTTGCATATCCCAGATCAACATACCCATATCTCCCATCTTTCTGATCTCCTTGCATATCCCAGATCAACATACCCATATCTCCCATCTTTCTGATCTCCTTGCATATCCCAGATCAACATACCCATATCTCCCATCTTTCTGATCTCCTTGCATATCCCAGATCAACATACCCATATCTCCCATCTTTCTGATCTCCTTGCATATCCCAGATCAACATACCCATATCTCCCATCTTTCTGATCTCCTTGCATATCCCAGATCAACATACCCATATCTCCCATCTTTCTGATCTCCTTGCATATCCCAGATCAACATACCCATATCTCCCATCTTTCTGATCTCCTTGCATATCCCAGATCAACATACCCATATCTCCCATCTTTCTGATCTCCTTGCATATCCCAGATCAACATACCCATATCTCCCATCTTTCTGATCTCCTTGCATATCCCAGATCAACATACCCATATCTCCCATCTTTCTGATCTCCTTGCATATCCCAGATCAACATACCCATATCTCCCATCTTTCTGATCTCCTTGCATATCCCAGATCAACATACCCATATCTCCCATCTTTCTGATCTCCTTGCATATCCCAGATCAACATACCCATATCTCCCATCTTTCTGATCTCCTTGCATATCCCAGATCAACATACCCATATCTCCCATCTTTCTGATCTCCTTGCATATCCCAGATCAACATACCCATATCTCCCATCTTTCTGATCTCCTTGCATATCCCAGATCAACATACCCATATCTCCCATCTTTCTGATCTCCTTGCATANTTTTTTTTTTTTTTTTTTTTTTTTTTTTGCCCAGGGGGGGGGCGTGATTTCCCCCCCCCCCACGCACTCCCCCTCGAGATATTATACAATCAATTTATAAATTTATTTTATTTTTTAATCAGACTTTTGAAAATTCCTCACATTTAAGACACATAACTAGGACAAAAGTAAGATTTGTGATAGAATTTAGGACGGTGTTTGCCAATCTGGTCACACACAAGCGACGCACACACACACACACGAACACACACACGCACATAAACACACGCACACACACACAATACACACACAAAACAAAGACACTCAAAACACACGCACTCACAAAGCATCCCCAATTGCCCGCTTACCTCCAGGTGCTCATTCTTGACCGCCAGTCGTAGCGCTGTCCGGCCCAAGGCGTCGATGCAGTCCACGTTCAGGTCCGCGCAGTCCTTCAGCAGCCTCTTGGCGTTGGCGACGTCCCCAAACTCTGCCGCGTGCAAGAACTCCTCCTCCACGTCGGCAAACTGAAACAGTTCGCTGGTAGTCAGTCGTTTGATGTTGTATTTGAGCACGGGTTCTCGACTTGTTCTCAGGATGCTTCGCAATCTTTTACTTTTAGACGACATAATTCGACGAAATCTTTGAGCACAGTTGTTGTTGTTTTTTTAAAATTGCTACACGCCTTTTGGGGAGAAATGTCTTAATTGTTATTGAATGTTTGATTTTTAAAGTCTTTCTTTTTTTTTTTTTCTTCTTTTTTTTTGTGGGGGGTGGGGTGGGGGTGGGGAGTAATTTCTAACTGTAAAATGATAATTTAAAAAAATAAAATGCACACCAATGGAATGCGCACTTATGGAATGCACACCAATAGATTGCACACTTATGGAATGCACCCTTATGGAGTGCGAACTAATGGAATACACACTTATGGAATGCACATTTATGGAATTCGCATTTATGGAATGCACACTTGAATCTTGAAATCATGCTTTTTAAAAGTTAATTAATTAAGATGATGGAAAAGCAAAATGAATATGTGTGTCAACTGTACGGTTAAATAACATTCAGTTTCAAAGACGGCCCGTGCAGCATTAGTACATATCGAGGTCATTGAGAAGTAACAATTAAAAAGAGGGGGGGGGGTGAGCACAGCTAGATGTCATCGAGGCCATATCTGGCATGCCAAAAATATGGTCCAATAGAAAAATAAGGCACCAGACACAGCATTCGGACGCAGCATCCGGTCACAGCATTCGGACGCAGCATCCGGACAAAGCATCCGGACACAGCATTCGGACGCAGCATCCGGACACAGCATCCGGACACAGCATCCGGACGCAGCATTCCGAAAGCTCAATTCAAGACAAAAAACATGGCGGTTTAGAACCCACATTACTGGCACGCGTGTCGTGGTCCTGATCGACATAGCCAATGAGCGCAATGATGTACAGGGAGACTAAATTTAGACAATAAATGTGTCGTATTTTTAAATTTGGACATTTAATATGTCGTATTTTTTAATTTGGACATTTGATAAGTCCTATTTTTAATTTTGGACAATGTGTCATATTTGTAAATTTGGACATTTAATATGTCGTATTTTTTAATTTGGATACTCAAAATGTCGTATTTTTAAATTATGACATTTAATATGTTGTATTTTTTAATTTGGACACTTGATATGTCGT